GGCTAGTCAAGTGGTTTTGACCCGGTCAAAGCTGACTGGGCAGCCCAGTCAGCATGCCACGCACACAGGTCCAACCTTATCCCCATCTCTCTCTCGTTTGTTCAGTCTCACCCCGATCCAAATCGACCTGCCGCCGCGTTGGTCGCCGCCGCCCGCAGCCACGACCTCCTCGCCGGCGACCGGTAACCGGGCGCGCTGCCACCGCCGCCTGGGACGCCGCCGCCCGGGGCCAGCACCTCCACCGCTGCCTGGGACGCCGCCGCCCGCGGCCACCACCTCCACCGCGGCCTGGGACGCCGCCGCCCGCGGCCACCACCTCCACCGCGGCCTGGAACGCCGCCGGCCGTGGCCACCACCTCCACCTCCACCGCAGGTTTGCCCTCTCTTCCCTCCCTTCATCCCTCTGTTTCCCTTAGATTTTAGTTGCTGCTGCTAACCCTAGCCGCCGGCGAGCTGCTGCTGCTAGCTTGGGCGAGTTGTTGGTGCTGCCACCGCCGGCAAGCTGCTAGCTTGGGCTAGCTGCTGCTGCTGGTCCTGCCCTTGCACCCCTTGTTAATAGTGATTTTCCCCCTCTCTCTGTTGCTGAAGGTCCTGCTAGAAGCAAAGCACCATCAGCTGCTTCCAAACAGCCTGCTACAAGCCAAACTGCAACAAGTAGCCAAGCACCATGTGCTAGTCAAGGGCCAGATATGGTACACTATCCAGGAAATATGCATCAGCAAACCTGATTACACTATCATGTATATATAACTAACATTTGCCATGTTTCTTGTAGCCTTCACGCCAGAGCAGCACTAGGCAGAGCAAACGGAAGGCCACTGAGGAAGTGGCTGCACCTAACCCAAAGAGAAGGGCGCCAACTGGAAGCAGCAGCAGGTCCAACAATTTCTCCGGAAATACAATTAATGTGCAAAGAAGCTCCAATGTCAATGTTAATGTATCTACCGGCAATTCTAGCGCTAGAGCTAGCAGCAGAGTTGTCAAGCACACAAAGAAGTATGCGGGGTTTCGAAGGCTGCTTGGACTTCAATCATGAATCAGCTAGCAACATCGCTGCTTGCCAGAAATGCATTATGTATTGTGTGAGACATCTATGAGTTGTGTGTGAGACCTCATCTATGTATTGTGTGTGAGACATCTATGTTTTCTATTTGAGACATCTATGTGTGTTTGCAATCATCTTTTCCGTATGATGACCAAATGCTACCAAATGGTACCAAAATGCTGCCCAAATGCTGCCCAAATTTTGAACCGAAAAAAAAAGTGCCCAGAAAATTCTGAAATTTTTACACAACAACACTCATATGATGTTCAGATAGCTGGGAAATTTTCAACTTAAATGGATTTATAGATTGAGAGAACCATCAATTTTTCAAATTCAGCCACTATTCAGTCAAAATTTTGAACCGAAAAAAAAAGTGCCCAGAAAATTCTGAAATTTTTACACAACAACACTCATATGATGTTTAGATAGCTGGGAAATTTTCAACTTAAATGGATTTATAGATTGAGAGAACCATCAATTTTTCAAATTCAGCCACTATTCGGTCAAAATTTTGAACCAAAAAAAAAGTGCCCAGAAAATTCTGAAATTTTTACACAACAACACTCATATGATGTTTAGATACCTGGGAAATTTTCAACTTTAATGGATTTATAGATTGAGAGAATCATCCATTTTTTAGATTTACACGTGGCATGCTGACTGGGCTGCCCAGTCAGCTTTGACCGGGTCAAAACCACTTGACTAGCCTCAAACCGAGTCAAGGGGGGTAAAATGGACAGTGTGACAAGTTCAGGGTTGAAATCCGACCGGTTTTAGAGTTGAGGGTTGACAATCAAACGCCATGGTTAGTTGAGGGTTGAAATGTGGACTTTTCTCTATTCCTTTCGTAGTGATAAAGAAGGAATAAAGAAGGATTAAACGGTAGAAATTAACATGGAGGATCAGCGAGCACTAAGCAACTTGGATTCCATCGATCGTGGATTAACTTTTGTGTGAGCCGGGGCCGGGTTAACTTTGTCTAGCAGTCGGCAGGTGCGTGCATCATCTCATCTGATTTCTCCACTCCACGGAGCTGGGGAGTGCTGTTTGTGGTTTGTGACGGTGTCCGTGCGCGTCGCCTCCTTGGTTGGGTCGAAAGTGATGCAAGTGCGTCACAGATTCTTCCGGTCTGAAATTATCTCGCCTTCGGACCATGAGTGGTAAAACCGCTGCCCAGGTGTCGACCCATGGAGGTGAATGTACTCGGTCGGCACTCCATGCCCTGTGCATGATAACGGCTGCAACAACGATGTTTCGTACAAAACAATTTGTACCGGCACATGGAATGCATAGTCTCCCGCTGCCCACCACGACAAGATAAGATGCTTGAAACTTCATATGCTCGTCATGCGGGCATTGTTATACGTGAATCTTCCAACTAGTAATTCCTGCAGATGCACTCATATCTGCCCTTAATTTGAGGGCTTGCGATCTTACAGATTTTGGTAATTCCGTCGCGGGTGATCTGGTGTGATCTTACAATTTCAGCCAGGAAATGGATGGATCGATCGAAGTTAATTTACGGGATGGTTAATACTCCCTCTATAAACAAATATAAGAGCTTTTAGATCACTAATAGAATATGCATGGAAAAGTTAATCTTAATCGTTAAACGGAAGTGACAGCAATTTCTGCAGTACGGTGCCCTCACGAGATTAGGTGATAATTTAATTCCATAAAACGAGAGCTCAGGCGCAGAGATTCCATTGCCATCGTCGCGTGACTTGAGTGAGTGCGCATCTCTTTTTTGCGCATCTCGTGGCTGATTCGCCCCCAGCTTGTTGCGGTTTGGCTTGTCTGGATTCCACAGGGAATCAGCCCCTCCGGGATCTTCTGCGCCAGCACCCAGCGGGCAACGTTCCTAGGGCATCTGTGCATCTCCAACTCTCAAACCACCCGCAACCTTTCGGAACGCACGGTCCGAATATGTTTTGCCATCAAACATGGGCGTGTATCGCTCCGCAGGCCTGTACGGACTTGCTTTTTTCCTGCAAACAAAAGATAAACTAGGAGTGGGGGCTTTGCGGGCGTCCGGACTGTTGCCATGTCCACCCACTACCCTACCCTACCAAAAAAAACTCCCGTGCCCTTGTGTTTTCGTGTCCGAGAAGGTCAATGCCGTTACAGAGCATCAATGTCAGATTCATGCCGGCTCAAAGAGACATGACCTCTTATCGCGCTTTGGCATTGAAATGGCGCCCCGGCCGAGAGAGCCGTCCTCGCTGCTTCTCGGAGCATGCGGCTGCCCCGCGTTCAAAAGACAGCCCGTCCGTCCGCATGCCTACATTAAACATGCGTACGATTGTCGAGGAATGGCGAGTCGGCGCCACCCGTCCGTCCATGTCGCCCAACATTAATCACGTCATCGGTTACCCTGCCATCCCCCGCTATATAAACCGCAGGCCCGGCCATAGCCGCACCCATCATCCTCCGCTCACTTCCTCCTCTCTGCACTACGCCCGCGACGGAGGACGCGGCCGAGGACGAGCAGGCGTCACCCTCCTTGTCGGTGCATGTCGACATCACCATGAGCGAGGCCCCTGCCGACTACATGGACACGGTGCGGGAGTAGCGGGAGACAAAGTTCCAGCAGACGCAAGCCGACCAGGCCTACAACCTTGGCCTCCTCGAGGAGCACCGGCGCACGGAGAATTAACTCGCCGCTGGCACGACCATAATGGCCGGACGTGGACGTGCCCGAGCAGGAAGCGCTGGTCGACTCCGACCGCACCGCCCGCTAAATCTGCCGCAACCGCTAGCGGTTCATCCAGTATCACGCGGATCACGCGGATTTACAGGCCGCGTACAAAGAGATGAATGAGGCGGTGGACGGCACCGAAGCGCGACTTGAATAGCCGCGACCAAGCAAGGCGAAGGGGCAGCCCGCCTGCTTCAATGCGGCGCAGCGGCCGGAGTTGGTTTCTCGGGACGCGACGTCTGCATTGAAGCGACGACCACGCCCGAGAGGGCACGTCCGTCTGCACTGCCTTCCCGTCCGGCAAATCGCGACATCAGTGTTGGCCGCTGCATACTCTGGGCCCGTATGAATGTGGCGCGGTAAGCGGCGCGACGCGTGGGATGGAAAGCACGAAAAGGGTGTGTGGGTTGTTTGGGTGGGCCAGGGCTAACAACAGTGAGTGTGACGGCGGTCCGAAGTCCTGCAACCCCCCTCCCCCTCACCCCCCACCCCCCGCTGCTCCTGCGTCTGTCTCCAGTTTGCGGGAGAAAATGCGTCCGGATCGCGCGGTGGACCGATACAGGACCGTGTCGGATGTTTTCGGCGGTCCGAACAACGTGGTCCGGACGGATGCAGGAGGTTTAGGGGTCGACCTATAGAGGCCCTTACCATGAAGGAGTCTTGCTCGTTCTGCATTTTTTTTGAGTTGTTGCTTTATTTCTTTTTGCGATTGTTCTCGTTTTTTTAGGAGTAGTTCGTACCAACGCAATGCTCTGCCTCTGCCTCTGCATCGTGCTGAATCAACCGTACCCAAATCACGCAGCCTCGGAAATTCAGCTGTCAAATCCAAATTTTTTACTCTCAAAAAATTCCGTTTTTTATTGTTTGTTTACGCGCCACACACCAGCAACTAATCCGACGTCAACCCCAAATCCCGCCCAGCACTGCCGGATACCGTTCCGGAGAGAAGAATCCGGCCCTACTACGGCGTGACGGCCGCTCCCGGGCCTGTGATTCCCTTCCCAAAACCCGCAGCATCGCAAACCAGCCCGTCTCGGACCCGGAGAAGAGCCACCCCCTCCCGTCCCCTATAAATACCCCGCCTTCCCTACCTTCTTCTCCAACACACACATACCAACAGAGCAACAACCAACAAAGAACAGAGTACCATAACAACTAGCCGTAGCCACACAGAGAGATCGACGGAAGAGCCTTAGCTTTAGCCATCGCCTAGCACAGCACACCACCGCACCACCACCAGCACCTACATAAGCACGCATGGCGCGCTGGGCCATCGCCATCCACGGAGGCGCGGGCGTGGACCCCAACCTGCCAGAGCACCGCCAGGAGGAGGCCAAGCGCGTGCTGGCCCGGTGCCTGCAGGTCGGCGTCGACCTGCTCCGGGCTGGTGCGACGGCGCTGGACGTCGTGGAGGCCGTGGTGCGCGAGCTGGAGACGGACCCCTGCTTCAACTCGGGCCGCGGCTCCGCGCTCACACGCGCCGGCACCGTCGAGATGGAGGCCAGCATCATGGACGGCCGCGGCCGCCGCTGCGGCGCCGTCTCCGGTGTGTCCACCGTTAAAAACCCCGTGTCCCTGGCCCGGCGCGTCATGGACAAGTCCCCACACTCCTACCTCGCCTTCGACGGCGCCGAGGATTTCGCGCGCGAGCAGGTAATCCATCAATTAACGCCGATATGATTTCTTTTGATACGGGATTAACCTCCATTATTTAATTATGTTCCATGCATGGCCTCCAACCAACAAAGAAAGTAACGTAAAACATGCTGCCTCCCTATGGCCATCTAGTTAATCGAAATTACTGCACAGTAAATCATTTTTAATTGAAAACAATCACGTGCCCCTGCCATGGCGGAGAGTGACAGAACGGACGGAGTAGCATGGCATGCAGCCGAAATTTCTCGTGGAAAGCATCCTTGAAAATTGTGGTGCGCTCGACACGTTATACATGAGGTGTGGGGTGCGGCACACCATCTGTCCTGTCCAGCTGAACCTTTTCTGTATGTAGTGTACACAGCACCAACACAGCTGCATGCAGCAAAGCTTGCACGGGGAAGACAGTTCATTGCAGAGACGCATCTTGCTTCGATCCTGCAAGATATTTTGGAGTAGCTTCGGCTCCGTGTGTAATTTGTTCCGTATCGTATCTTCATGCTTCATTTTGGGTAAGCATGTCATTTTATTAGATACAGCAAGACAGAGATAGTTTTTTTTTTTGCGGGTAAAAGACAGAGTTAGGTTAGCACAATAGCTCAAGAAGGTCATGTCCCTGGTTTCCTAACAGTTGAAAAGTGGAGAAACACATGGGTCTCTTGGTGACAACAGCCGCCCCGCACCTACCAAAACACACCCTTGGTGACAACAGCCTCAAGAGTTTTCAGTCAAGATCGTGCAGCTAGCTAGTACTAGCCAGCAGCTGCACCAAAGGATTCCATCTTTGTCGCATGCGCCAAAGAAAATGGTTCGATGCATGTGCACAACTTTCTTTCTTGTGGTCGGCACTATTTCTCATTAAATTTAACAAAGATCACTTGTCAGATCCATCAACCTAGGATGGTTACTGTACACAGCCAAAGCACCCCTGTTTCTACTTGCACGCTCCCCTGTTTTTGGCGCGAAAACGTGTGCACGGCATCGCCTCCCCCTGTGCACCACTCGCGTCGTGTGTGGCAGCCATGGGACAGAATCCCTGCCGGATCTCGTGCCCCGCCCATGCCAGCCGCCACGCCGGGACCAGGCCACTGGCTCCCAGTGCGACGAATCTGTCGTCGACGCCACACCATCGAGTTACAGCAACTGGATCCGTTGCCGTGATTCCCACAGAATCCCTCGCCTTGCCTGCAGATCTCGTGGCTGTGCACCGTGCCGCACGATCTTTATTTGCATCGAGAGTTAACACGATTTTACATTTGAATGTGTTGATCTGAATTGGTTTCCAACTTGGTCTGTATGCAGGGCCTGGAGGTTGTGGATAACAGCTACTTCATCACGGAGGAGAACGTGGGCATGCTCAAGCTCGCCAAGGAGGCCAACAGCATCCTCTTCGACTACCGCATCCCGCTGGCGGGCACCGACACTTGCAGCGCGCAGGCAGCGGCGGTGGAGGGCCACGGCAGCAACGGCATGTTGATGAACGGGCTGCCCATCAGCATCTACGCGCAGGAGACGGTCGGGTGCGCGGTGGTGGACTCTAACGGCTTCACGGCAGCGGCCACCTCGACCGGCGGGCTCATGAACAAGATGACGGGCCGCATCGGCGACTCGCCCCTCATCGGCGCCGGCACCTACGCGTGCGGGCACTGCGCTGTGTCGTGCACCGGCGAGGGCGAGGCCATCATCCGCTCCACGCTGGCGCGGGACGTGGCGGCCGTCATGGAGTACAAGGGCCTCCCGCTGCAGGAGGCCGTGGACTTCTGCGTCAAGGAGCGGCTGGACGAGGGGTTCGCGGGGCTCATCGCCGTGTCCGGCACCGGCGAGGTGGCGTACGGGTTCAACTGCACCGGCATGTTCAGGGGCTGCGCCACCGAGGACGGCTTCATGGAGGTCGGCATCTGGGATTGAAGTGCGCGAGCTCAGCCGGAGATGTGTCCGCATGTAGTGTGTGTACATACGTTTGGTCATCCTGCGATTGCCATCTGGTTTTAGTCTAAGAATCCTCGGTTACTAGCACTGGTTACTTCAAAGCCATGAGCTACCGGATAATAAACATGGGACTGCCTATGCACGACGTGCCTCAAAAAAGTTCCATCAGTAACTTATATTGTAGACCGTTTGATCTTCATCCAACGGTTGTAAACAAAACTGTCTTCTTCCTCAAGTGTAGTCCCGTGAACCCAGGCTGAACCGCATGCCGCCGGCCGCGATCCTCACCGCCCCCACGCTCCCCATCGTCATGCTGGCCGCGTCATGCCACCGCATCGAAAAACAACTTTGAAGATCTTCAGCACCCCACCCCTAATAAGATAAGATAGATAATGTGGCTTCAACCTAAGATGGATTTTCGGTGAAAATCGAGTAAATATAAATATATCGTGTAAAAGAAGGACGCCGATAACTGTCACACGTGTGGTATATTAGACATGCGTCCACACATCGTGTGTGCTGCGAGCAGGAGGTAGCCCACACGGGCTGTGTGTGGGCGGATATTAGAATTGCCCACACATGTGGGCACGGCTACTTCGTGCCACACGCCAACAAGTACTACTCATCTCCATCCCGCGCGTGTGGCACGAAGCAAAAATGCCCACACGTCCTGGCACACTACGTTAGGTACACCGCGGGATGACGATTTAGTTGCCATCCTGGTTGGCAGATGTAGTTATCCGGGATGGCAAGTATAGTTGTAAAAGCATGGCAACTCTATCTGTTTCGGTTAGTTATAGTTGACATGTCTAATTTATGGTAGTTGCCGCATGTAATCAAACCGTAGTTGCCGTGTGTGATTAACTACTTGCCACATATGGTCAAATAGTAGTTGCCATGTGTATTTACCTAGTTGCCACGTGTGGTCCAACCATAGTTGCCGTGTGTAACTACTTGCCACATATGGTCAAACAATAGTTGCCATCTGTGTTTACCTAGTTGCCATGTGTGGTCCAACCATAGTTGTCATGTGTGTTTATCTGGTTGCTACGTACGCGCAACTACAGTTGCTGTCAGCAAAAAATCACAGTTGCCATGTGTGTTTACCTAGTTGCCACGTTCGTCTAACTGCACTTGCCATCCACAACGTAGGATTGTCGCGTGGGCCCACGCGCGCATGAACTAGGTGGCTGGTTGTGTGGGCAGAAACTAGTTCGCCCACACAGCGCAGCTGGCAAACAACATGGTTCTAGCGTGTGGGTAAACTCTCCAACGCCCACACACCAGCCCCGTCCTACGTGGCACATAAAATCAACCTTTTCATGCCAAGATTCGTGCAAAAGGCACTGGACGACGATCGAGGCGTGTGGGCGAGTTGGGTAACGCCCACACGTGTGGGCGTTTGTATTTCCGAAAAACAAAGGACGCCGATAACGCCCAAATGTGTGGGCGTTAAGGGATCTGTCCACACATTTTGTGTGGTGTTTAAGAGGATTAGCCCACACACCTACGTGTAGGCAAAACAAGTAATGCCCACACGCCTCTTTTTTCCTCGTGGTCCCTCCCACATGTCTACGTATGGGCAAAATAGATAACGCCCACACGCCCGTACATCAGGCCTCCTACCTTATGGTCCGGCACGCCTCGCGTGACAGTCACCACACGTCCCCGCAATTGCCATGGTCTGGACCCTCTTCCTTGTTCATTTAACTGCAGTTGCCATGTCGTTGAACTACAGCTGCCATGTCGGACAACTACAGTTGCCATGGTTGCTCAACTGCGGTTGTCATGTATGGTCTGGTCTACTGCAGTTGCCATGATTTCAAAACTTTAGGAGTTGCCACCTACTAACAGTAGGCAGTTGCCATGTAGCACTACAAAAAATGCATGGCAAAAAAACATGTTCGGGTAAAAGAGCGAGTTGCCATGTGCTCACAAGCACGCTAGGGCAGTTGCCATGTAAAGAGAAAGAATTTTTATCTGCTTACGTACACGCTAGGCCAGTTACCATGTATCACGCAAAAACACATGGCAACTCGGGTAAAAAGAGAGTTGCCATCTGCTTACAAGAAAAGCTAGGGCAGTTGCCATGTACCCTGCAGAAACACATGGCAACTGACAGCTTTGGGTGTGGGAGTGGGCGAAGTGATAAACGCCGACACACCAGCCCCTCTGCGTGCGTGAAAACTAGTGTGTGGGCGATTGCTAAACGCCCACACACCGGTCCCCATATGGTGAAAAAAAACATGTGGGCGACCGGATGAATGCCCACACACCAGCTCAATCCTACGTGGCACCACAAACATGCCAAGATTTGTGCACCCACAAACAAACACGGATCCACGCGTGTGGGCGAGATGCAAACGCCCAGACGTGTGGGCGTTAGAGTTTCCAAAAAGAAATAGCAAAAAAATGACTAACGCATTTAAAAACTTCACACACCTGGCCAGGTTTCATCTTCACCGGCTAGGAGCATGCGCAACTACGGACAACAGATTCGTCCAGTCAAACTCCCAGTCGCGTCCACTTGCACTGACCGGTCACGCCTCAAATTTTCGTCTTCACGTCCGCGTACCTCATATTCAGCACCCTATATTCATATAAGCATGCAACGTAAGACGGACTCTACGTGATCAAACAATGCACAACGAAATCGACATCAAGCGGACGAGCAAATGGAAATAAACAAACTGTACATCATCCAAAATACCATCAAAGTTGATTGCCTGACAAGTTCTTTTTTTCGAAAAGGGAGGTTCGTCCCAGCCTCTGCATCTGAACGATGCATACGGCCAATATTATTAATAACCAAAAGGTCCAACAAAAATCTTCAAGTCTCGAACAAAGAAATACAAAAAAGCTCACAAAGAGCTAAGCAGTAATAGTAAGGCCACAACCGTCTGACAAAAGGTAGGAGCAGTACATGCCTATCCTATTACATGACCGCCATCCAAACCGGTTGAAAATATCCCGTGCTACCATCTCCCATCGGGTAGACCCAGTAACCAAACGCTCCCTGGCCTCCGTCGAAGTGAGTAGCGACCACATACGGATCAACGCAGTGGCTCTGAAGATAACCTGCAAAAAATGAATGTTTG